CCGGAGCACCGTCACAAGACGGCGTTCATCCTCCCCACCGGGCTCTACCAATTTAACACTCTGCCCATGGGTCTTGCGAATGCCACAGCCACGTGTCAAAGGTTGATGCAGTTCGTCCTGAGAAACCTATTACCACAGTCCTGTCTCGTCTATTTGGATGACATTATTATCCACGGCAAGTCCGTCAGCCACCTCCTCCAAAACTTAAGTCTAGTACTCCAAGAATTACAGGCAGCAGGACTTACGATTAACCCCAAGAAGTGCCATTTCCTACAACGACAAGTGACCTACCTTGGACACGTAGTAGACGAAACTGGCATCACCCCTGATCCGGAGAAAATTCGGCAGGTACTCGACTGGCCGACACCACAATCACAAACGGATGTACGGTCGTTCTTGGGATTGGCTTCCTATTACCGTCGTTTCATTTACGGTTTCGCGAATATCGCCCTTCCGCTACATCGCTTAACGGAAAAGGGTCGTTCTTTTGTGTGGACGGCAGAATGTACACAGGCCTTCTTAACCCTCAAAAACGCTCTAACTTCCGCCCCCATCCTTGCGCTCCCAGATGGAGACGTGCAAAGCCCACCCTTCATCCTCGATACTGACGCCAGCGGATTTGCTATTGGCGCAGTCCTCAGCCAGATCGCTGCGGATGGACATGAGCACGTAATAGCGTACGCCAGTCAATGTTTGGACAAGGTGCAACGGCATTACAGTACCACACGGCGGGAAATGCTAGCCCTCGTCACCTTTGTCAAGAAATTCCGACACTTGCTGCTCGCCAAACACTTCATCGTCCGCACCGACCACCAAGCCCTCAAATGGCTTCGGAATTTTAAGGATGCAGAAGGACAAGTCGCCAGATGGCGGGAGCTACTTGAAGAATTTGACTTTGAAGTTCAATATCGCCCTGGGAAACGTCACAATAACGCCGACACTCTCTCCCGTCCACCACTCCCCCCGACGAGGACAACGAACGACGCCTTTCCTGTGGCAGCTATCCAAATATCACAGGCAGCCCAGGAGCAATGGGCTCAAATGCAAGCGTCCGATCCCAATGTATCCCTCATCTATGACCGCCAGTTACATGGATCCCCTAAACCCACCGCTCGCGAAATGGAGAGCCTCAGCTGGGAGGCCCATTGTCTCTGGTCTATGTGGCCCTTCCTCCGTCTAATCGACAACATCTTGTTCTTCCAGCATCACCCCTCTCTTCCCAACCGTATAGTGGTCCCTCGCACTCTTAGGCCCCAAGTCATCCGTGCTACCCATGAAGAACTGGCACATTGCGGGCAAGCCAAGACACTCGCCGCGGTTCGTCAACGATATTGGTGGCCCGATCAGCGACGCGACGTAGTTTCTGTCTGTCAGACGTGTCAAACTTGCGCTCAAATCAAGGACCCTGTAGTCCGTCCCCGGGCGCCACTAGAACCAATGTCGGCAGGCTTTCCCAACCATCGCATCGGCTTAGACATCATCGGACCTTTATTTCAGACTAAGAAAGGCAATCGCTTCATTTGGTTATCGTCGATTATTTCACGAAATGGTGCGAAGCCATCC